CAGTTCAGTACAGTAGTGCGGACAGGAAGACAAAAGTGCACCGTCTCCTCCAGAAAGCAAAGACTCTGAAGGGAGAAAGGAGGAGAGATGGGCCACCATAAGAAAGAAAGAAGAGGAAAGGGTTAAGATAGAAGTGTGTCTGACAGAGGAGGGCAAAGGGAAAGGAGCAATGGTTGGATTATGCGAAGAGGACATAAAAGAGGGTACAGGACAGCGGGATTTTTGTATTGAGACTGGGAAAGGAGAGAAAGAGAGAGAGAAGCAGGAGATTGTCAACGAGCTGTTGAAAGACTTTCCCAACTTAACAGTAGGCGGTTTGTTGCCTGATCCAATACCAGGACAAGAAGGGATCATGATCAAAGAGGCAACAGAATGGACAGTGGCGGTATACCCGAGGCGACGAGGTCCCTGGAAGAAGGTGGTGCGACCAGACTCCACTTACAGCAAGCCACCCCAGAAGGGGATTGGGCACACCACCCATGCTGCGGCACTATGTGCGCAGTCAGGAGCACCCCTTTGACTGTGTGGACCACAGCAAACTATGGCAAGTCCTAAAAGAAATGGGCGTGCCTGACCACCTGATCCATCTCCTGAGAAACCTATATGTGGGACAGGAAGCAACAGTTAGAACTGGATATGGAACAACGGATTGGTTCAAAATTGGGAAAGGAGTACGACAAGGCTGTATATTGTCACCCTGCTTATTTAACTTATATGCAGAATACATCATGCGGAAGGCTGGACTGGAGGAATCCCAAGCTGGAATTAAGATTGCAGGAAGAAATATCAACAACCTCCGATATGCAGATGATACCACTCTGATGGCGGAAAGTGAGGAGGAACTAAAGAACCTTGTAATGAGGGTGAAAGACGAGAGTGCAAAAAACGGTCTGAAACTCAACATCAAAAAAACTAAGATCATGGCCACTGGCCCCATCACCTCCTGGGAAATAGAAGGGGAAGATATGGAGGCAGTGACAGATTTTACTTTCTTGGGCTCCATGATCACTGCAGATGGAGACAGCAGCCACAAAATTAAAAGACGCCTGCTTCTTGGGAGGAAAGCAATGACAAACCTCGACAGCATCTTAAAAAGCAGAGACATCACCTTGCCAACAAAAGTCCGAATAGTCAAAGCTATGGTTTTTCCTGTAGTGTTGTATGGAAGTGAGAGCTGGACCATAAAGAAAGCTGACTGCCGAAGAATTGATGCCTTTGAATTGTGGTGCTGGAGGAGACTCTTGAGAGTTCCCTAGACTGCAAAGAGAACAAACCTATCAATTCTAAAGGAAA